CTACTTAATTCAGGAAAAAAAATTAAGGTCACTCAACTTAAAGTGGCTTTCCTGTCTCCGAAATTGGATTGTATTATTTTTCGAAAAATAAACCAGAGCATACATTAGCTTTAGATTTTAATTACATGTCTCAAAATGAATTATAAATAGTTAACTAAAAGTATTATAATATTGATTTACATTACATGTACTGAATTTAGATTAAATTAAAATGTATACATACACATATTATTTACATTTATATATCATTATAATATTTAGAGTTAATACATATTTTATACGTAATTGTGTTTGTTTGAAAAATCTTAGTGGGTTTAATGTCCAGGCAATGTGATTCCACACGAGTTGAAGAAATTGAGAAAATTCTTCTGATACATTCTTTTAAGCTTATTATGGTATCAATCTGTAAGCTATCTAATGCGCTTAAAGAGTTACTAGAGTAGATAATAGTGATGTTTCTGAATACTTTATTAGAAGACAATTTTAGTGCTTAAATTTTAAACAACTACTTGAACTTAGAATATGAAACATCCTGAAGGTGATTCAATGTGACTATTTCATCTCAAATGTTGTCTAAACTAGGACCTTTGTCATTCGTTATGGATGGGTCGGTTTATATTCTTACACTACGAGTATAAAGTTATAGAAATTCTATAAAGTATTGTATGTGATCCCGAGGATTTTTTGAAGAGATTTTTTTTCTAATATTGTGATTTCACTTGATGATGTATGTTAGGTACATCTTATATATTTGCATAAAATATTATTATTGTTACCCACTCAAGTTTAATTAATTCATCATTTACATCCTTCGGGTCGGCATAAGGTGCAAGGGTTAGTACGGATTGACCGCGCCGCCGGGTTCTGTTCTATTCGCATTTCAGTTGTACAAACTGATTGTGTTTTGTGTTGAAAAAACAACGATACTATAGGTGCACGGTGTTGTTTTTACGTTATATGTCCTACATAAAATTATGTACCTATTATTATTGTTGTGCAGATCGCTGCACAAAATAAAGAAAACTAATTAGGTATGTAAATTGGACATGGACCATATTATAATCGTAACGTGTTTATAAAATAACAATGAACTCGAGTTGAACGAAAAAAGGGGAGAAATAACTATGTTGATACAGTCTTGGTTGTACTCGGGACTCTTTTTTACAACGAATGAATAATAAATCACTGCTCTATTATCATAGTAATGATACTTGTAATTTTACCACGATTTGAATAACGAGTCGGTTAAGTCGTTTAAACTATTCGGAACTGTTACATGGTGTATGGTTCAGCAGTGAGACGAAAAATACGGCACGCATCTAAGTTCCTAGAAAATAAAAGAATGAGCTGGCTCATAAGGAGAGAACTTTTGATCAATGGAATATAGGCCTCGTAGGCCATTACAGAAACAAAACCATCCCAAGAGTATAGATAATAATCTCTCTAGTATATAAAAGTTGTGTGTACTATTTTTATCATCCACATAAAAAAATATCCATGTCAACCAAAATATAAATAAATAAAACCTAATAATTATTAATTATATACTTTAAAGTATAATAGAGATATAATTTTTAAAAAAAATGTGTATCTTCCTCATATTTTAATTTGTAATATTTTAAATTAGAAACAATTTATTTCAAGATATAAAGCGAGCAATCCTTAGATTGTGTTAATTCCTTGAGGGGTTGGTATGCAAAGCAGTCAGTGTTAGATTCTCTTGTATATTATAATATTCTAGATGTGGGTTCCCCTAGTATATTATAATATTTTGTCTTTCATCGAGAAAGAAAAAGATCATCACCCAATATTGTTATTTGTTTCATTTATTCGAATGTATAATACGCCTCTCCGAAAAAGTTCACTGCCATGGACTTTATAACCCATTTTCACGTTAGTTATTATCATGGCTATAGACAGTATGGTAGAGGAACTGCTAACACCGAACCCAGCTGGAGAGTGAAGTCATGTGACTAAAATGAAGAGCCTATCAAACTATCTACTAACATAGGATACCATATATATAACTTATACCGCGGGATTATTGTTCTTATTACATTCAATCTGGTATTAATAATTTGTAAATAAAAAACTTATATCATAAACCTTATTATAATTATTGTTTTATGGAGTACTCTGTGTTTATTAATTTACCTAGTCAAAATATGCTTTTTTATAAACTATAATTATTTTCGTACGCGTATAAGTCATATAAAAATATAAATTATAAAATTGTTAATTCATGGTCGTTGAGAACAGAAATTTAAGAATAAAGCAGTCTTATTGATCATTGAGAATCTAACTAAACTTTTTTTTGTCAAGATATTTGGATTTTTTAAATATGAATAGAAGTAGACCACCGAGTACAAAATGTTATAAATTAAACAGTGTAATACTATAAAGTTACCACCAATATAAATTTGACGATTCACTTTTTGATTATGTCTATTGCCAGCTATTTCTATCTAGAAAAAATATTTTTATTTTAATTTTTTGTTTGTTTTTGTATGTCATTTATGGATTCACCATATTATAACTAGGTGTTTATTTTTCGATAACGTAATCAGGTATGGTCTATTTTTCGCAATAGCTTAACTTTTATAGTAGTATATTGAGATTCATAAAATAAATATCAATACCAAAAATTAACTAAAATAAGTAATATTTAAAAAAAAAAATTAATATTGTCTCAGATTTAAATTCACAGCGATTGTTATAGGTACAACACTTTAAAAAAAAGCATTATTTAAAATCCTTAATTTTGTTGTATTAAATATATATAAAATTTATATTTTTCAAGGAAAAGGAAAGAAAAAGATAGTTAAAATGACTGTTACAGTGTATTTCATTGGGCTCCCTCATTATTTATATTATTTTATCAATCAATTGTATTGTTCTATCGAATAACAAATGGCCTAAAAAAATTAATAATAATTTTTAAAAAAAAAGTTTCAAACGTATTCGATATGTTTAAGTAAAAAACAAATTTCTATAAGTATATTATTTAGTATGCTATTTTTTTTTAAAATTTTATTCACATGGAATTTGAAACATGATTTGTTTATTGTTACTAAACATTTAGGTGAAATAAAATAATTTTAAAATTAATGACCTTTTATTGTAGTACCTAACACAAATGTTTGTAATAAAAAATAATTTCCTTAGTTACGAGATACACATTTGAAAGATCAAATGAGTGATCCATGAGTCATGACATCAACAGTTTATAATCTTCTTCCGACCATCATTTTCATAATTGTAATAATATAACCACGGTGTGGCAAAATATACTTGAGTGGCTTAATATATTTTATACTGTATTATAACCGAAAGAATATGATGAATATAAAATGTTATCTTTTTTAACAACAGCAACAGTCGTTGGGCAGAGATTTTTTTATCCAATTATTTTTAACGATTTTTTTTGTCGTTCTTAATCACGAAAAAAACTCATTATTTTTCGTAATGGTCCTACCATATTCGACTGAAGTAAAATAAATAGATTATAACAGTATCAAGTATTGTTATAGTACCTGTTATAGCTTAAATTTTATAGGCATACGATTGATAAATTCACCTTTGTCCTATATAGACGCTAATCTAAAAATCTTTGGATTAACTTTTATATATTGTACAGGTGTTTCTGAAAGTTATTGGTAAACTTTCCGACACCTACTCGAAACTTTTTATAATTAAAATCTTTATATTGTTAAACCTTTTAAAGTTTGGCCTTATACTCATCGCTTTCTTCTCGAAACAATAAAAAAAAAATGTGCAATCGCCACGATATCTTAACGTGTTTCAAATACCCCCTTCATGCACATCTACTTAACTAAATAAATTAGTTGTAGCAAGGATAATTAAAAAGAAAAAAAGATGATATCTGAAAATTGAAATTAAAAGTTCTTGCAATGACGATGTTATAAAATTAGTCTTCTGTAATTTGACCAGTGACCACTCAGCGTAGAATATCCTGTAAATCTTATTCACACCTAAATAATTATTATGGGTGAAGATCCATCTAAGGCACACTGCTAAGCCCGAGGTATGCTAATATAGTGATGTATTTGATATTTTTTCATTTTTTTCTGGTATAGGTTATATGTATCTAAAATGTTTTGATTCCCTATAAAATAATAAATGCTATATTTTTGGAAAACAAATATTAAATCAATCTACCATAGTACTAGTAGTAAAATAAACTATTAATAGAAATATGCAAATAATATAAAATATCTTAGGCTGACAGGCCATCTAGAACCTTGTTTCACTTACAATGCTATATCATTGAATTTGAATTTTAAATTTAAGTATGTAACACATGTATTACTCTAAGACTCAGTGACCCTCTAATGCCTACTCTATATAAGGTCACTTGCTCAACATGTAAATACTATTTGATAGTTATTTTTTTAATAAAATGTTATAACTTTTGAGTTATTTTAACATAATATATATATATTTTTTTTTTTATATATATTCCACCTGTTCATAAATAAAAACAATAGGTAATAATGATAACAAGAAAAGTTTATACAAAAAGACATGAACCGCGTGAAAGGGGGACCATTTATTACTGAACCTAAGAAGACTTCTTTTTTTTCGATTTTAGGAGGCCTCTAGACCAGTTTCTTTTTAGTCGGTGAGGCATAAATGACATAATATATTACATATATTTTACATAAAGAAATAGGTAATATTGGATAATTTATTTATTTAATGCACTTACACTAATCGCTCAATGCAATGTCTCCAATTTTAATTAATTTAATTTGCATTGCTCTTTTGGGTATTTATATTTATATGGGTGATTAAGTTTAAAAGTTATATGAACTTAGATTCATTGTACATTATTTTATATGGAAATTAGCATCATCTCAAAAACTAATAATATAAATGTAAATCATTAATCTGTTTATAGTGGTATCCAAATTTTATTTAGGTTCACAAAAATACTTTTGTTTTTATCGTTCTTCTAAATTACTTTCTTGGTTTTACAGCCTCACTATGGGTTGCAATACAAATCGCTCAGTCTATCGTCATCAAACAAATATATCGGTACGAAAAACATTAGCTGTTCAATCAATATCTTTCGAGACTCAACTAAAGGTATTATTGCGTAAGTTGAGAATATTGATTTTATATTTATAATATTTCTTAACCCAACCCAGTATCAGTCCAAGGGACCATTAATAAGTATTTCAAAATATAGTATTATGTATCTAATCTAATCTAATAATTCGTTATCACTTGAAGTATTTGGTAATGTGTTTAATTACTTATCTTACATTCGTTCAAACGATTCTTATATGTTTTTACAACATATTTTGTTTATGAAATTAGTAAAATACGTGGACTAGGTACCTATTATTATTTTAAAAAGATTCATTTAAAATTAATAATAGGATTTTTTTTTTGTAAATCTAGGTTTCAGGGATAATAATATAATTTTGTTTTAAGTAATAGTTTCACATTGATACATAAATATTAATTCATAATATAAATTATTTTATTAAATTATTATATTAATTATTGTATTTGGTACTAACCAAATTTTAATTTAAAACGCACGTATGAAAATGTTTATTATTTCATATTATATTCTAGCAGGACACTATAAAGCGTATAAGACCACGATAGTCCGACTTCCGTAGTGTGGAAGTAATAATTGAAAACGTGCTATATTTTCACCGAAGGGAATAAAATATCAACTGAGTGAAAAATAAAATTCCGGATCCGTAATAGCCCCCTCGGATATCATTAATAGGTAGGTATTCTATTCCTAGAACATTTATTTTTTTTGTGAAGGGTGTTTCGCACTTCACTGCATCGTAAAATAATGTACTCGAATTAAATTAACGTTAAGGTTATTGCTTTAAAAGGATGATCAACTTAGTATGGTTAATATAAAAAATACAAATTGTTTCGTTAAAATGTAAAATTAATTTAGGTATCACTTTTACAGAATTTACAGTTGCCGTTGACATTTTATATCACCACAGAAAGAGAACTGAAGACATTGTCATTTTAATTCGTAAATAACTGTTCGATAAAATATATGACTGTAGGTATACATCATATTTTGCATTTGGGTATTTTAAGCAACACTTAGTTTTTTTTAAGGATTCGATACTTTTCCTAGATTTTAAATTCAATTTCTACGTTAAGGAAACTCATATATTTGTGTAACTGACTTATCAGAAAAATTGTAACCATTAATAATCTTATAATATTTCAAATATAACTTTTATTTATAGGTTGTAGTTTAAAATCAACCAAAACAGCACGGGTGTGACGAAATTATGGCATGATATCACTGAAGAAAAAAAATATTAAATGCAAATGCAAATCAATCAAACCAGACAGCTCCGTATGTGTTTTATACAAATGTATCATATTATATCGTATTTAATGTATCATATTATTTTGTACGTATCACACAACATATTATCAAATAATAATTTATTGTAATTAGTAACTTATCAGTTCAGTTACCTAAATAAAATTATAATCATTTATTTAAGAAAAAGTTTAATTTGGTTTGATACCAAAAACTGTTGCATGTACGAACCATAAAATATGTCCTTTCTAAATATTTAAGTCACTTTCTATGTAATTTGTATGATTATATAGTTGAATAAATAAAAAAAAATAGTTATATTACGATTATAATTATTCATACTATTTAATATTTATATATATTTGCATTATACACCAGGTACGTGTGTTTTCCATTTTTCCGTCGTACTCAGTCAAACACAACATATACATTTTTACGTTCTAAAGAATTCGTTTTACTATATTCTTTTTTTAATATAAGTAATTCTTGTTACCTATGTGACTATGAATAATCTAATTTAAACAAGATAATAATATCTAGGGCTTCATATAGATTTTTGTTAAATTTTTTTTTTTTGAGGAACTTATGAGCATTTAAAAATTGTAAATTGTAACTAGAATATATTCTTCAAAACGTACAATGTGCATTGTTATGAGTCAGTAAGTCGGAGAATACGCGTAAACAACACTGCGAGTACAAAAAAATAAATAAATCCTAGGAACTCTTAAAAAATAATTATTTATAATAAAATACTTAAATAACAATATTATAATAAAGGTAGCCGTTATCGCGTATCTGAGAACTAAATGTCACGTGAGATGTGAATATATGTTCCGTGATATTATATTATATAGTTTTTTGTCTTGTTGAAGTAGGTATACATCTATGTAAGAAAAATGAGAAAAACAAATGTGACAACAATTTTGTAATTTATACCATCCAGATCCACATAAGTTCAAATTCATTCAGAAAGGTGTAACCGTTTTTTAAGTTTTTTCATAACCTACGTCATACTTAATGCATAGAATATGACACAAGCCTGACTCCCACACACTCGCCTCATTTTAAATAATTAATTTATGAATTATTTTTAACAGGACAGAATTATTGTTGAAATATTGTACTGTTTTCTTTTGTTTTTACCAAAAGTATCGTTCTTTTTATTCAGTAAAGTGCAATTCATAAGAAGGTCACGTTATATATTTCAAGGTAAAGGCAATCCAGTATAGGTATCGTACCACAGTTATTATAATCGGTCTACAAACTGTCAAACGTAACATTTTACCAGGACAGCGACTTACAGCAGTGGGAAATAACTAATAAGTAATATAATTTATTTTAATCATACAATCAATTTAATTTACTTAATAAGTAACTGTGCAGTTTTTTAAACTGTTAACTATAAAATGTAAAAATTTAAGTCACTTAACTTATTATTACAATAAAAAACAGCTTTAAAATTATAATAAAAAACCAATTTTTAATATGCCCACTTTCCGCTGTTGTACTACTTCCGTCGGATCAACTAGACTAAACTAAAAAGAACCACAACTCATTAAAATCTAAAATATTGTGACCTGGAACTTAACCAGAACTGAATTAAATACTTTCAAGTATGACCGGTAACCTTTATTTTAAACAAAAAATATTGGGCATTACAATGAATATGAATTTTGTATTTACATCCATGGTTAGGATGTTAGAATGCTTTGATAACTAAACTTATATTATTTATGTTTAGCCATTTATTTCTCACAAAATCTCTACTTTGAAATTACTATTTAAGTTTAAAATATAAAGTATAAATTGTTCTATATCTGTATAGAAATATTAAATAGGTGTTAAATTAAACATTTAAAAAAAGGAAAATTAGGAACCATTTATACCTATATTGATCAAAATTAGAACCAGTAGTTTTTGATAAAATAGCTTTGTAACAGAACCCACAACAGCATCAGAACTGGAAAAAAACAATGGTTACCATTTGCCAGTTCCTGATCCGTCATAAGTTGTGTAGGTACATTTGAGAAAATAATATGTGCAATCGATTGTCAGTCACCCCTTCACATCTTAACTTTTGATATTGAAATTAACTGTTTAATTTAATTTTATGTGCTTACATTATATTATTAATTGTCTTTATTTTATTTTTAAATTCAGTAAAACGAACCCGTGGTTATATGATTTTGAGGGTCACAGACTTAATCACAGAGTCCCTTATGAGTGATTTCCCCCCCCCCCTTGTATTTTAATTCAATATTTTCTCGTAACATTTAAGTATGATATTTCTATAAAAGTTTTTCCGTGATCTACATATTTTGTTAGAAAGTATACTTTTCGCTGACACTGGAAATAAAAGCTTCTTTAGAAGTTTTAAACCGAAAATTATAAAGAAATCTGATTTCAACCAATAACATATTATTTTAAACATTTTAGGTAAAAACTGAGATTATATTTATATTAAAAATAAAACAACGAGAGTGCCATGTTGTTTTTAGGTATTTTTCAAGTAGAAATAAGAATTTGTAAGATTACTCTTTCACACCATATTTGCTTGAACTTTTTTCCAAACATCGTTTTTTTTTTTTTTTTAAATTTAACAATATTTCGAAAAATATCTTTTAAATATCTTAACTAAAAATATTTTCGTAATATAGAAACGACAACAACTTTTTTTAATGACAATATATTCAGTTTCGTTCCTTAAAATTTTTATTGAATTCTAAAAAAAAATTTTTTTTAATTTTTTCGATTATTAAATCAATACATTATGTTCTGAATAAATTAGTAATTGTAACATAATATCTAAATTAAATTATCATTTTACCCAAATGCTTGTTGTTGTAATACATTTAAATTAACTGTGGTAGTGTGGTGGTAGTACAAAAGAAACAAGTAAGAGAACAATGGAGGTGTTATAACCCTTTCCACTCTGAGCACGCTACTGAATATACTTATGACATTTTATACATTATTTTTAAATAACTACATGTATACAGGACTAGAATTGCTTCAGATGGTTTTTAAAAATAATATTACTCATTAGGTTTCAGTTATTTTTATTGTTATTATAATTATAAGTTTGCAGTTCAAACAACATTTTTTATTTCTCAAATTATGTGCAGCTCCTAAGGAAAAACTGATTAGGAGTAAGCCAATCAGCATTTCTTCGAAAATATTTTCACATGGAAAGATCCATGCTTTACATAAGTACCACCCGGTGTTTCATTAACACCTCACGAATTTCCATAAGGACTGCCCCACTATCCATAAAGAGACACTAACTATATTATAGTCCATGGACTTAAGAATTGATAATACCATGATTTTTGCTTATTCGTAATTCAAAATTGAGTCTATAACTTAGTTCTTAATTTTGTACTTTTTTAGTGGAATCATGTTACAGTCAAAAAATAAAAGTAGTGAATATGTGCACTTTAAATAATTTTAAGATTTTTACAATATTTGGCAACATCCTGAAAATTTGAAAATTAATTTGTAAGCAATTAATACGAGTTTTCAATTTAAATATGCACGGCTTGACAGTTTAATACAATATTTTCCATATTTTTTTCTCACTGGGAGAATAATAAAAAAAAAGTTTGGCGTAAAACCATACATACTTTTCTATTTGAGTTAGAAATTCCAGCGATAGCATACAAAATATAGTTAAGAACACAGAATATAACAGTTTTGCTACATTATTTTTAATAGATTTTCAGTAATTTGAAATTGTTCCAAACATACTCGTATTTTTCGTTTTCGTACACGTAATAATTATTTTATTATTGGACTGTACATAAAATTATTTTTATACCTGGATGTCTGGATGTTAAGTATTTATACTTTTGAAGTACCATTTTGTGTGTACAATATTAATTTCAAAAATACCACGTATGCTGAATTCCATGTGTATTTTTACTGTCTCCACTCAATTTATAAAAAAAATATTACCACTCACATAAAAATATTTATATTGTAGTGCCAATCAAAACACATTTACTTAAGATAATTTTAATATTTTGGGGTAAATTAATGCTTATTAAAAAAACTAATATAATATACATTTGGTATTTAAATATTGTTAACAGGTTTGTGTGGAATGTATACATTGTATAATATTTTATAGTTTTATTAAAGTGTATGTTTAAGTAAAAAATAACATTATATAGACAAAATATAAGAGTTAAAAATGAACTATTAAGATGGCTGTCGATGTTTTTATTACTATTTATATTTATTTTTTTATTTTTTTTTTATTAATGTTAATAATAACTACAACGGTTATTTATGTATTTAAATAGAGTGACTTGAGAGTATATTGCATCTGACTTGGGTGTTTAATAAACTTGAGCGTTATATTCTATAAAACGAATTTAAATATTCTTTTCTGGCACGGTCGGAGCTTTGTGTGTGGTACAGTGGAGTGGGTACGATATTTCAAAAGCACGTCCAAACGGTGTAGACATTTCGTGCCATTTTCCTCTTCTTCCTCTTTTCACCACCGTCGCCACGGCCACCTCCTCATCCTTATCCAACGACGACGACGCCTATTCAACGAAACACTTACACACAATACCCAGCAACGGTGGCTGTAATATATAATATGTATATAGTGTTATTTAATATCCGTAAATATATTATTTTAAGCCGTAAAAGTTTTAGTTTTGATAGTTTTACGACGTTATTAAGTCGAAAGAATACAATAAAAACGTACAACGTATTTTGGGAGCGATTAATCAACTGCCGTTTGAACAACGATATCCCACTCCAACTCGAACTACTATAAAACGTACATATAATAATATATATACGGTACGGAAATTCTGAATATAAAAATAACAGTAACAATAACAGTAATACTATTGTTTGACGACTATATTCTACCCATTTAGTGTGAGTATAATATAAATCGAAAGAAATAGAGCGTTCAGTGATGAATGATGCGAAGGAACGATACAAATATGAACGTAATTCCCATATTATAGAGCCCCAGCGTGGACATTTACCTTTCAAAATAATAGAACTACACGAAAAAATACGGATTAGACCCAGAATGTGAATGATAAATTATGTTTCTTACTGT